AAGGGTTCAAAGTCTTTCTAAGCTTATACACATACACTTCCCAAAGAAAGGATGGGGTGGAATTGGAAGGGGGATTTATATTGCTAGAATGGGCTTAAATATTTTTTCTTCCATTGCTTCTAAGAAAGGAAAATAGCTAAAAACAGAATACCTGGTAAAACAGAGATGAAAGAAAGCACAAAATCTTTCTTCCTGCCCAGTTGACAAGATTTAAAATTTCTAGAGACTCTAACATCAACCCAGTGGTATGTTAGTCTGCTGTAGAAGTTCTGGCATCAAGAGAAAGCCAAAAACAAATAAAAATAACCTTTAAAAATATGTTGATTGTATTTGATTCACTACTGTAGTCATTATTGTAAAATTTAATGGCAAAAGCATTTAAGAAAATTACCTACTTTATTGGAAACAGTAATATGCAAAATAAGGATGAACTGAATTTTGGACTTATTATGTATAATCCTTAAATATATGGGATTTTAAAGATGTGAGGATTATGAGATAATTCTCAAATGTTGTGGAGGCTAAGACAATTTAAAAAAAATTGTGTAGCAGCACATCTCATATGAAGTGATTCTAGGTGGCATATAACCATTAAAATAAAATAATAAATATATAAAAAGAATTGTTAAAATATAGACAATATAGCCATTTGGAACCAGATAGATTAGATTAACATAATGCTTGAATTTACAATATCTTTGGTTCTCTGGGACCCCTGAGCCTGATGACAAAGCCACGTTTTCAGGTACTTTTGGAACATTAAAAGAGACTAAACAACCAATTGTCTGGTCATTCTTCTTTCCAAATATAATATGGACTTGCATCATTTGCCTTCAATTCACAACTCTGAGAAAAGCTTCAGAGAAGTCTCTTCCTTCTCTTCCTTGGCTGTCCCATGGAACTGCTTGCTACTTTGTTGGAAGGAGGGAAACTATGGAGCAACAACTATGAAAAATGTCCTCCATTCTGGCATATCCCAAGAGCCCCTTCTCTCACCTATCAACTGCCCGTGCCCCTCAGCTAGCTGGAAAGCATGGTGACTCTAAAGCAGATACAACTTTGCCAAATTTTGACCCTACAGAAGTCATAGCTCCTGGATTTTGGATGCTTTTATAAGTTAGCATATTTGAGGTATGTTGATTCAAAATTGTTGCTCTGAAATGCCTTGTTTGACCCAACTGAAGGTTACAAAGTATTGGACACAAGACTGAGTAATATAAAGACAGAGCTAAACTTACTTCAAGGGGGAGAATGTTCCATAAAATAGATGCCCTGGCACAGAATGCCATTCTTCTGGGATTGGCCAGTTGTAAGCCCCTGGCAGATGAGATCTGAAGCATACCACCTCTGCCAGATCAAATGGGACAGGCAGATTAATTGGGCAAAGGTGATCCCTTAGATAACTGCGTCCCATGCTATGAAGAGCTTTAAAGATTGAAACCAGCATCTTGAATTGGACTCCAAATGCTTCTGGATACTTTTAAGAGTGGAATTAATTTCAGTTGATTTCATTTATATTAAAATTGAAATTAAATATACTTTATTTAATTTCTCTCTGGTCATATATTTTAACACAGGTAGTCCTTGACTTACAACAGTTCATTTAGTGACCATTTGAGGTTACAATGGCACTGAAAAAAGTGACTTATGACCATTTTTCACATTTATGACTGTTGCAGAATCCCCATGGTCATGTGATCAACTTTTGTAACCTTCTGTCAAGCAAAGTCAATGGGGAGCTAGATTCACTTAACAACCGTATTACTAACTTAACAAGAGCAATGATTCACTTAACAACTGTGGCAAAAAAGGTCATAAAATGAGGCAAAATTTACTTAACCACTGTCTTTCTGAGCAATTGGGCTCAATTGTGGTCATAAGTTGAGGTCTACTTATATTTTTCTCCTCTCACATTATAGCATTATAATTGGATTACATATTTCAAAAGTCTCTGAAGACTCATCCACATTAAAGATTATGTATAATCCTGAAGCCTTGATATGGTAGCTTCTGATTGATGACATTATACAAGCCACAGTTAAATAAATCATGACTTAATACAATGTATTAGTGAAATTATATTCCACTATTTTATTTCCATTTTCTATCCATGACAGTTTTGGCCCAAAATATTCCATAAAGTAATTATCACAGATCCAATAATGTAGCCTGCTCAGCATAGATTGTCCTATTCATGTTAGTGGGTGCAATCACTCACATCAAAACCAGTTAACTCTGACAATCTTTTGAGAGATAAACCAATTTTGATGCAATCTGATCTCAAGACTTCTCAGACTGCTCGCTTGTACTGTTATTAACATGTGATTGCCAGACCCCAGCAGTCCGCACCAACCTGAATTATTTTTAATCTTGTAATTTCTTGCCATTTTACCATTTCCCCCTCTGAAACAACCATCAACTACTGAGAACTGAGAGGATTTTATCTGTAGAACATGCAAGTCAAAGAGCCTTCTTTTTTCTATAACACAAGATTTAAGTTACCTTGAACATAAAAAATAGTAATAACAATAATAGGCTTGAATGTTATCTGGTCAGCAAAGTTTATGATCCATGGTCTTACGAGATCAGAATACTAAAAAGCAGTTTAAAAACAGTTCACTCTTTGATTGCAAAGCCTTCAGAATAATCACAGTCTACTTGACTAGCCAAAGTACCTCCTGCCTGAAACATCTCTTGCTGCCTCTGTTCATAAGCTGATCAAGGATGCACATAGTTCAGCCAGTTCTTTCTTAGTCAGCTTTTCTAGCTGATTTGAGTGCCTTTGAGAAAAAGAAACAAAGCAGAAAACCCACAGAAGCATATGTCCATAAAAAAGCTAGCTTCAAGACTTTGCATAGAAATATGTGGCTTGCTGTTGCTAGGAGACAACCACAGCAAATTCTCTAGTGGCCAAAGTGAACGACAGTGTAAATGCTTCCTAGTGGCAATCATGTGTTCCACAAGACTTTGAAAACTTGACCTTCCTCTCAGGCTGGGGGCGGGGGGCATGATTGCTGACCCCTGCCAGTTTTGGGATATTTATATTATTCCATTGTGTCCCCAATTTTGCAGGCACTTGCGGTGTTATTTTGCTTTTGCTTTACAAGACTGGGAATTTTAATACAGTATGTAAGCCACATAGAAATACTTGGAGTCTAGCGGCTTCTAAATCTTACAAAATAAATATATACACTAGATAAGTAAACAAACAAATAAACCTAGTCACCCTCTAGTGGCCAGATTAAACAGCAACATATTTGGGAATTGCTGTAAATTAAATTCAATCCAAATGATGTGGGTCACTGTTGATAAGTAACTTAGTGAAATTTCATCTTTCAAAAGCTTTACAGCAGTGAAACATAGACTATGCTGCTCTCCCAGGCCAGGAAAAAACAAAAATAAAAAAGGAGCCATGCTCAAAACAAGTCTGTAAAAGAGGTCCATAAGGGGCGTGCATAAGTGCATAATCGTGCCTACGGTCCCTGTCCTATTGCCCCCATTTATTCATACCTATTTCCTGTATTCTTACTCATGTTTATACTTATACCTATCATCTTGTAAGTGATTGACAAATCAAATCAAATAAAAAAAATAAAGTCTGGAAGACCCCAAGAAAAGAAGGAAAGCCCAAAGAAAGCAGAGAATGTTATAGAGCAATAAGTTCTCCAAGGTTGAGATCAGCTTTGAACATCACTGAGAATCGTGGAGTATGGCAGTGCAAAAGATCCATATGGAACTTGAACATGCCTGGACAAGAAATGTGAACAATTTGAATGTAGAAACATAAAGAAGCATAGGCAGTACGGTACAACCTTAGACATCTCAATGAGCAAGCATTATACTACACAAACACCATCCCAGAAATTCTCAAGGAAATTCCATATTCCCAGTTAAATCATCCCTCTCTTCCCACGATCTGAAAGTCTCCAGGACTTTCTGGACACATCTGCTACTCTGGGCAGTCCACATGCTCAAGTAATACTCCATTCTGTATTACTTGTATAGAGAGCAGAGGGCAGCATCTACTCACATATGTGGTTGAGTTCAATAAAAGGAAAGTCTCCCTTAGAATTGAGAGGAGCATGATCAGGTTCAGAAGCAGTTGAACCAAAAGCATAGGTGGAATGGAAGGCAGTTAAAATGAAGGTGGATCTAGCAGGCCAGAAAGAAAGGAAGGAAGCAGCCCAAACAACAATGAGACCTGACACACATTGCTGTCAAATGCTCATGCAACTACCATACCAACACACAGTCATTGAACATGACATAATTACAATCAGCACCAAAGAAGGTCTGAGTATTAACAATAGAACTGTTTTCACAAATTGGACTAAAGAGTCCATTAGGTTTTGGGGCTTCATTAACAATTTCACAATTAAACTAAAGTAGCAGTGAATAAAAAAGGAGGAGGTTCAAACTTCTGTGCCTGATATGTTCACTAATTTCTTATTTGAATTTATAAGTAATTGCACATAAATAATAGGCATGCATTCATATCTGCAGAAATATGTAATGTTTAACATTGTATGATGTAGGAATGGTATTAGTTTCTGTTAAGGACTCACGAAAACCCTTCGGTCAGGAATACCTAAACTATTCTACTAAATTTAGGTAATAAAAACATGTTAACTGATGGAATTCTTCACATTTCAGGTTGGGAATGAATTCATGATCTCAGAATAATCACCAAACCAGAAAAGCTATTGAATACAACTACATAAGTGAATGCAGCTGAAGATATGGATACTTATAGACTTAAGCAAATAATACTAATTATGTATCTTCTACTTTCTCTTATTTGAAGTTTCATAAATGATGAAAATACATTGCTTATACTTTTTTAAGCGTATGTGTCGAACCATTTATAAAAAAATTCTACAGGGAAAAAATCAGCATCAAATTCAGACAAGGGGAATTTCCCTCAAAATGTGTCTGAGGCCCTTCTATGAATAGGAAAGAATATTGCAAAATTCTAAAGCAGCATCACTTTTTATTCTCACCTTTGACCATTTTATTGAGAACCATATCAATTAGGATGTAGGTTCCAGTTCTTCCTGCACCATCACTATAGACAATGAGAAAAAAATCTAATTAATTCAATGTGCACAAAATCCTAACAAAATTAGTGTTTATCTTGATATGATGCATATTCGAGTGGGGGACTAACCTGAGATGGAGTGCATCACATAATTAGGTAATAGCGATTGAAAAAACTTCTCTAAAAAATAAACTATTCATACATGATTATTTGGTTTGTGTGCATATGAACAGTAACACTTATTCCCCTAAAGACAAAAATACACATTTGGGAATAGTGTCATTTAATATTTTTACTTAACACAAATAAGTATAGAAAGCTGCATGCATAATGAACAGCTGTTCAACTTGGTCTGTAAGAAAAATCAAAAAGAGGAAAAAGCATTTTCCCCAAATGATAGCTCTCTCTAAATTTCCAGGAACTTTCCTGGCTCTGCAAGCTGACCTGCTTCTCCTCCTGCTGTGAAAAACCTTTTGTTATTTAAAGGGCATATTATTCTTCACGGAGAAATTGGATACTAGCCACCTGAGCCTGGAAAAAAGATATGGCTACTTTCTTCCTTTCATCTTTACAGAAAAACTGCTGCAATTAAAAAAGATGCTATTCATATTCTGTACATTATTTTTAACCTGCTCAGTTCAGGAATGACAACAAAGATGGAGATTTGTCATAGAAAGTGTAAATATGTCAAGATTTCTAATCTGAATAAAGTCTTCACTGCCTTCAAAGAAGGCCAGCTTTTATCTGGAAATGAGATGCTTTTTGTGCTATTGTGAGCAAACATTATTAAGATTTCAGCAATTTTCTTTTTGTTCTTTTCCTCAGTTTCTAACATATTATGGGGCTTTTTGACAATACTTCCATGAAAGAGAATGAGTCCATTAGAAACTATTTCTGATTTTAATATTTTTTAAGATATAGAAGGTTTTGAGGCATTGCAGGAAGAAAAAAGATAGGACAACAATAGTGAAATGTGTTCAATTTGAGCGAAAAGTAATTTGCTATATCAGATTAATCAACCACAGAATGATGTGTCACTAGACAAGGGGCTCAAAATAAATAAAAAACAAAAAACAAAGAGACATTTTTGTTTATTAAAATAATAGATTTGGTCATAATAATATATACATTTTTAAAAACCACATGCCTGCGCCTGTAAAAATCACTGAAAAGATTATTTTAATGAATTTTTGGAAATAATGTGATTCTTGAATTAAATACTCAACCTGCATATTCAGGTGATAAACCAAAATATATACAGTAATCTTTTAGGAATCCACTTTCAGCTGGATTACAAAGTACTTTCTTTAGTCATACAGAATGACAAAAGTTATTTTACCATAAGTATTTCTATTCTATTCTATTCACAATATAAATAATGTTTCTTCTACTTCTTCAGGACTTGTTAAACTGTATGGCAAAACAGCCTCAAAAGATAAAGCCAGTCTGAATTTTCTACAAAATATAATTGTGAATAAAACTCTCTCTCTGTGTTATATATTTGCACTATGAGCAAAAAATTAATGTTTATATATATATATATGTGTGTGTGTGTGTGTGTGTGTGTGTGTGTGTGTATAGATAGATAGATAGATAGATAGATAGATATGTTAAATTCAGTAACAGAGGAGAAAAGGGCTAATTTTGGTAGTAGTATAATCCTATGCATATTTACCAAGAAGTAAATGTCCAATTGCAGTATATATTAAACACATATATACATCTTCCTAAAAAGAAATAATTTCTGTAGTGGTTTGGGTAAGATCTGACCATTAGTTTTAGATAATTTAAGCTAAATCTTTTCTTAAGACATCATCAGTCTATTACATAAGAATTGTCAAGAATTTCTGCATTTATAAGAAACTCATCTCAGCAGAAAATATGAATGAAGTAGTTAGAATGCATTTAATTTGATTATTAAATAAATCAATGTACAAAGCTATTAACATGTAAGTTTGATATGTGGGTTTTTTTCAAAAAAATTATACTTGCCTGCAATGCACAACTATTGGACAAGAACGGCCCCTGTAGCACTTGTTTATTTTTCTGCAATAAAACAAACACAGATGTTGATAAATATTAATAATTATCTAAGAACATATTTTTCATGAGTCATAAAATTTAAGGTTTTTCATGAGTCATAAAATTTAAGTTATAAAAACATATTTATTAAAATAACAGGTGTAATCCTTAAAATATTATCTTGCACAAGAGTCACAGGAATTAGTAAGGGTGTTTTATAATGCTTACAGAATTATAATCTAGATTAATTTGTTATCAACTAAATCCTTCATTTCATTTTCACTGCTATTTAAATTATTATAGAGCTTATTTAAACTATGTGAGTTTTAATATTATGTGTGAAATCACGCTTCTTCAACAATAAAACAAATTTTAGTTTAGCATAATTTGTGGTCCCAACATAGAGAATCATAATTTCCTCACAACCTTAAAATATCACGTTATTCCAAATGTTCCTTGTCCGTATATTCTCTTGATTGGTTGAACCAGAGACAGTGTGTGTTCTTAAACAGCAATAAAAAAGTAATAAAAGGGTGCTTTCTTTTTCTTCTGCATTTCCTACATTAATAATACAAATGACAACAAATCTGGCTTTAGTTAAAGTGTGTATTAACAGTTCACTTTCAGCCCTGAGGCAGTATTAGTAGAGTTCTGCTTAAAAGCTAATACAGTTTCATTTAGAACTTTTGCTCTGAAAGGTGATACATACGTTCCTAAATAAATCAATGTTTAAAAACTACTGTTTTAGGAATATATTTCTTAACTCACAGGACAATAAATGAAAAAACTTTCCAATTTTGCATAGATAACTGCTAGATTTATATAGTACATTTTATTTTCTGATCTTTTCAAATATACAAATAAATATATTCTGAGACATAAAACTTAAATACCTGGAAACACAATTTCAGTTTGGACACACATGCACACACAATATTTCATAGGCATAATTCAAAATGTTGTTTTTAACTAATCCTAAATGACTTAGATATTTTATTATTCCTCTTTTGTAGGTATACGTATATGTGTAAACTTACACATGCACACGTATATGTCTAGCAACTAGTAGATTTCTTTTTTGTAGAAATCTTTTATCTATAAAATAAATATATACTTTCCTGTTTCCTAATTTGAGAATAATTGCTTCTGAGTAAAAAAAAATGGAATTAATAAATTCACATCATTTATTCCAGTTCATGAATGAAAAAGTATAATTAGCTTGAAAAGACCAGGAAAGAATCAACTCAAATCAGTGTTAAAATTCTAATGATTTACAAGTTTACATAAAGAATATAGCAAATCAATCGTTTTCCTCTAATGTAAGTATCTTCAGTTAAAGACAGAGAAGACAGAGTGAGAAATAACTGCATTTTGCTGAATAGGAGGAAGAAGAATGCTTTAGGAAAAGATCAAAATTCATTTTTGATGAGAATAAGCAGTTAGAGTTAGACATCAGAATGGAATAAAAATAAAGCTCTGTATAAATCATGCATGATTATGTAGGAAAATAATTTAATGTCAAATTGGAGATGTTATATAACGCTTAGTTGAAGCAAAGGCAATAGTAACTGATGCTGGCCTTAATAACAAATATAACATTTCAAACAAAGGCTATATAGAACAATGACTTTGGGGCTGGGTTCAAGACATGTCAGAACAAAGAAAACAGATTTCCTGTAAACTGATAGGTGAACTTTGGAATGGTTTGGTGGCTCTAATTTAAGATAGTTCATTGCTCATATAAAGGGTTTTTTAAAAAAAAATGTCTGTGAGATTAAAGGATAATCTCCTCTGTGCCATTGTGGGAAAGAAGTCAGCCCACTTAAATAAACATTCCCTTCCATATACTAGGAATTCCACCGTTAAAAAAGCAAAATGTACGAGTTAAAGCCCAATATGGCAAAAAGCCGGGCTACCTGTGGGAGCATCTTTCCCTAAGGAAATCTACCTGTCCTACTAGATAAGATGGGCACATTTCTGGTTTCTTTCCCCTATACTGCCATCTAGTGAGAATCAGGAAGGATGCTTTTCCTATGGCAGCTCCTGCCCTGTGGAATATTTTGCTCTCTGAAGTTTGGCAAGTGTTTGCCTTCCTAGCCTTCTATAAAGCACCTGGCTTTCTAATCCAAGCATTGGGAAAAGACCAGATAATCACACATCACCCTGGATTAATGCTATTTTTTTGTTTTTATCATTTTAAGTTTTAATGGAGTGTTTTACAGTTTTTAAAATGATTTTATTGGAAGCCACCCCAGTTGCCTTAAAGACAGGTAGCTATATAAATGATATAAACAAACAAACAAACAAACAAACAAACAAATAAATAAATCCTTCCTCTTTGTGACTGTCACATCTATGTGCAATGTTAATTAAACAAAAAGCCAGTTGACATGGTAAATAAGTGGAAAAAACCACAAGGCCAACAATTTCAAATCCCAGAACACACTCTCTCTTTTAGCCATCCAGCTAATTGCAGTTTCTAATAATTCCTAGGGGCAGTAGCTCTAGGGGTAAACAGAGGAAAGGTTTTTCTATCAAGTAACCATCCCCAATTTTGTAGCCTACTTTTAATTACTGTGATTCTATGCTATGCTCTCAAATAAAATTTGCCTCATCTTCAAACAATTCACCCCAAGTGTTCTTTTGAAGACTAGCAGTCACTAGGCATCAGAGCTAAAAAACTACCCTGGTCCATGAGATTTGAACAAATCGACGGGACCCTGATAGGAGGAGCTCCCACCACACTCCTAACTGAACCAATAGGGTTAGAAATGGGCCACCACTGGGAAATTATGATTTATAGTGGTGCCAAAATGATGGAAGCAGTCATCCCAGGGCTGTCCTAGCTGGACAAATGGTGTTAACCATCTAGTGGGAAGAGGAATTTGAGACTAAGAATAGACCCTTTCCCTCCCACCAACAACCCTGGAAGGAAGTTGTCCAGCATCCGAAAGACACTAAACAAAGTGAGAAATGAAAAGCCATGATGGAACAGCTACCACGGATCCTCCAAATTCCCAAGGAATACCAGGACCAAGCCGGACTTTTCAGTGAGACGGAATGTGATGTTCTACCCCCCCGACTGTGCAATAGAGGTCTTGCCTGGGCAAAGCTACCCAAAATTGTACAAAGTACAAAGCCAAAACTGTACTCCATCATCCCTAGGAAAATGAAGGAACTAAAGGAGTACATTGACAAGGACTTGGCTAGAGGGTTTATACAACCAGCAAAATCATGTGTGGCAGCGCCAATACTGTTCAAAGAGAAAAAAGATGAAACAATGAGATTATGCATCGATTTTTTGGCCTCCAAGAGGCTCCTACAGTGTTTATGCAATTGATCAATAGTTGCTGCATGAGCACCAATATAAAGGGGTCCTTGTGTATTTAGATGACATTGTCATCTTCACTGAGACTATGGAGATCATGTTAAATTGGTCTGCCAAATACTTAAAAAACTCCTAGCAGCAAACCTACATGCTAAGCTATCCAAATGTGAATTCCACAAAACCTGCCTTGACTATTTGGGATATTGGATCTCCAGTGAAGGGGTTGAAATAGATCCCAGATAAATCAGAGCCGTTCTGGAATGACAACGCCCTTAGACCCATAAACAACTCCAAAGCTTCCTGGGGTTTGCAAACTTCTACTGGCAATTTATTCCCTCCTTCACAGAAACAGCCCTCCCAATCACTGAACTACTGAAAATGAGAGGAGGGGAATAAAACCCCGACCAAGTCAACTCCTAAACTGAACTCTAAATGCCAAGAAGCCTTCGAGAAGCTCAAAAGACTTTTTGCCAAAGAACTAGTCCTCAAATACCCTGACCCAGTGAAGCCTTTTGTCATCCAAACAGATGCCAGTGACATAGCAGTGGCTGCAGTGCTCCTCCAGAAAAACCCAAGTGGGGGGATCTGCAGCCATGTGTATACATCTCCCGGAAGCTTACTGAGGCCAAAAGGAGGCGTGGGAGAAAGAAGCCCACACAGTTTGCTGGGCTCTGCTAACTTGATGCCACTTCTTGGAAGGAAATAAATTGCCTTCTGAAGTATGGATTAGTCACAAAAACTTGGAGGCATATATGACTCCATGGAAATTTTCACTCAAGCAAGTTCGATGGGCACAATACTTCAACCGCTTTAACTTCACTTTGAAGTACATCCCGGGGGAGAAAACCTTTTAGCAGATGCTCTGTCACAAATGCCACAATACAACAGCAAGTGCAAGGAGATAATCCAAGCCATGATTCTTCTCTTCCAGAAAGCGACCCAAGCTATGACCAGAACCTAAAAACTGAACTGTTGTCTGATCCTTGGTAGAGAGACAATAAAGAGCTACTAACCTCCAGACAGGGACTAGCCTGGAAAGGATCTAAACTGTATGTCCCCAGTGCCCTTTGTCTTCACATGCTCCAAAGGAGCCAAGATGCAAAGCAAATAAGACCCTGTGGATTCCTTAAAACCTTGCACTTTACAAGGAGGCAATTTTGGTGGTCAGGGATGAAGAGAGATGCTGAGAGTTATGTCAAGAGTTGTGTGGTTTGTGCCACTATGACGAAGCAACAAGGAAAGCCTCATGGACTCCTCGAAGAAGTGACGGATCCATTGAAAGAAATCGCCATGGATTTCATAGTGGAGCTTCCGAAAAATGGGGGAAACACTGTCATCTGGATAGTGATTGACCTCTTCTCTAAGCAAGCTCATTTCATAGCCTGCCCAGTCTCCTTCAGCTCATAAGCTAACCAAGTTATTCTTAAAACACATACTGCCTGCATGGGGTCCCCAGGAAGATCATCTCAGATTGTGGGGTTCAATTTACAGATATGTTCTGGAGGGAATTCATTAAGTTAATTGGGTCCTGCCAAGGGCTTAGCTCAGCTTTTCATCTGAGCATGAAAGGGGCAGCAGAACAGACTAATGTGATGACAGAACAATATTTGAGGTGCCATGTCAACTACCAACAAACCAACGGGGTAGACTTGCATACAATATGGTAGCATACAATAATGCTGTACAAAACAGCACT